GTTTACTGTATATATTTACTGCAGCTAGGTTACTCTGGGCCCAAAAATGGAAGAATGGAGAAACACCAACGATGGAAGAGCGATTAAAGAAGCTATTGGACATTGCAGAACTAGATATGCTTTCAGAGGCATTATGGGCTCAACCTAGACACTTTGTAAAGGAAACCTGAAAGCTGATATATAATTGGGCCCAGGAAAATACAGGAATTTAGGGGAAGAATTAGCTTATGGTAAATCAGTGCTCACTAGCATCCTTTGATGATATGCAGATGACCAGACGATGGCGAAATCTCTGATCTATAGGTGTAGTTGGGATGTTTAGTTTTGATGTTTTGTTGTTATTACTGTTAGGTTTTAGTTTTTTTGTTCTGTATGTTGGTATGTATGAATAAAAATAAGTTTAAAAAAGGAAAGGAAAGGAAAAAAATAGGTATAATGTATGATTTGACTCTCAACCACAATCTTAATTAGATATCCTTTTGGGTTTAATCCATTTGCTACACTAGTAAATGTACTATTGATATTTACCTTTAGTTCTTCCCAGAAGTCTGACCTGGGAGTCTTTTTTTCTTTTGCTTCATTTTTTTATTGTCTCCTCATAGGTTTTGGAGGTATAAAATATTCAAAAGTTGTTTAGCACTGCAGCCTTCTGCATAGTCCTAATAAGAGTTAGAGTACTATTGTCTATGAAGGATCTTCTACTAGTGTAACCTTCCACTGTGGCTGCTGCCCATCTAGAATTTCTCTGCCTCCCCCACCACGAACACATCCGTTGTTTTCAGTTGATATGCCTGTTAAGTCCTGAAGGAGATGCATCTTAGTCTATTGTCTCAACTTTGACCATTCTGCCTTGGGAGTCCAGGCTCTTGACAGAGTTTAGATTGCTGATGGCATTGCTCTCAGCTTCCTTAACACACTTAACAACCCACCTACCCCATTTTTTGTATGTAATCAAGAGGATTCTCTGTGACTAGCTGTTTTAGAAAGGAAAAGGTTAACAGAAGCCTTTGCTTCATAGAATATATACATGCCTATATCCCGTGTTTTCCTCACCCTTTCTCTTGCCTGTATGCACTTAAGTGAAACTTTAAGACAGTGCTAAACAACTCTGTCTACCATTTCTCACAAAACTTTGAAATCCAAATTTGATTAAACATAGTGACTGCCTTTCTTTTCATAAGAAGAATATAAGGGCCTTAAATGATTTGAGGAGTGTTCTTTTATTGATCAAGGTGTGTGAAGTTGAGATATCTAGGAAAGTTGTTTGAAAATGTAAACACTTGACCATGTGAAATGTTTAAGAGGCTACTTTTTATAGGAGCGGGTCCACAGAAACTCTTCTGACATAAAACCCATTTGCTTTATTGGCTGCTTTTAAAGGAGGTAAAATGTACAGCTTGGCTTCCAAATTCATATTGACCCATTTTGAAAAGCTTGCAAAAAGAAAGTCCACATTTCAGCATGGATATTTAACTTGTTTGCTCTTCAGCAAGATTTCCATCTTAGCATATTGTGTTGGCACTTCCTACAATTATATTTAGTACTCTTCTATCCTACCTTACCAAGGGACTTTGATGTGAATTACTGCTATAAATAGTGAACAATTTAACATTTCCACATGGTGGGAAGTGAGAGAAGACAGTGGATATTAACATCAGGACAACACGCCATTTTGGTGAATCTGTGAAGATACTCTTTCAGCATGTATGAAGATTGTGCTGGTCTGCTGTTTCTTGATATTTTCTGAACAGTGCAATATTATTTGTTTTATCTTAAAGTTCTCTATAGTGGCACCATTTGAAAATTAAAATTTTCAAAATTGAGGCATGTTTCTGTAATAAAATGTGATCCAGTTGTGTGAGCATATAAATTAGTGTTCTGCTTGTCTGTTGATTTGCAAAAAAGCAGTAATTACATGTTAAAGTATTTGTTCACTTTGGAAGAGAGTGGGCTCTGTTGTCACAAATAACAAGTAGGTACAACTTCTTTGAGTGTATGTAGGATGCTTCGTGTTAAACTATGGCAACATTGATTGAATTCTCTCTCCACAGTGGAGTCAAGTATCAAACTTAAATTTAATTTAATGTCTGTAGCCATATAATTACTGAATTTCAATGCATTTAAAGATTATCATTTATATAAAATTCATAAAATTGGAGCTTAGAGCATCTAATTTAGTTAAGTTGGTTTGAAGTGCTCTAAAAATAATTATCTATTCAGTGTGGCCAAGGGCGATAGGTAATCATTGCTTCTCGAACCTGACCCCATGAATTCTGGTAATATTAAAAGCCTGTTGTGATTATGATATGGAGCTTGTTTTCTATACTGGATATTTCCTTTGGGCTTTTGAAGAGGAGTGTTTACTGATTTAATCCATCAGCACGAAACATCCTGAAATTAATGCAAAGATAAACCTGTGGAACGTGTGTTTATGTTATATTCAGGTCTAAAGTTCCATCACATAATCCATCCTAAATTAAACTCTTATATCCCATTAGTTTCAACTGAGTGAAAAAATAAACCTGACTCTCACATTGAAGCCATTAGAAGTTAATTACTCAAAGTTGTATTCAAACTCTTTCAACTGCTTAGTGGTGTAGCAGAGAACATATCCTAAATGTACTTTTATGGGTTTTTAAAAACTATCAAAACCTGTTTCCTGTCTTCTACATGTTCCATTATGAATTGGAAGTATTCAAATGGCAGAATACTTTACTTGTTTTACTGTAGATAAAGTTCGCTTTTTGCCATATTGGGTAATATGTAAGTTGGCTGTCCACATTGCCATACTGCCATACTGGACAAAACAAATTAATCAAAATGTCACTTTTACTCACACAGAAGGACTTGAATGGTTGGCTTGGTTATGATTATGAACTCTCCCAGTTGCATAGTAAGGGCCCTCAAAAGCAAGCCATGGCAACCAAGAGGACTGTGACAACACTTGTACTCTCAAAACCTTTGTGCCTGGCTCAGACAAGGGCCATAGACCATGTAGATTGTCTTATGGCACATCTGGAGGGAACTAGAAATGTCTGAATGCCATTGAAAGCATTTAAATATTCTAGTTCCATTGGTTTTGATAAGATATAAACATGTTTCATTGTCTCTGAAATATAATCCTTATCATTAGAGGATATCGTTGTGATCTGCTTGTCCCTGCATATATGGAGATAAGACCAGTCAACCTTAGAGGTTTGTAAATGAAATGTAAGGAACACTGAGGGCGCTATACAAATGTTGCCAAATACAATGCAAGCCATATTCAAATAGATAGAGGATCTTTTTCAGTTTTACTGTATTTGTAAGATTCTGGTGAACATTAGAGGTCATTTCCTGTGTTTTTCTTTTCTTTTAAACAGTGCTTCTGGTGCAAGTGTTGTAGCCATTGACAACAAAATAGAACAGGCAATGGTAAGTAAAGAACTGAGTGCTCATTTTAGAACTCTACTGATTCTAGTTTTTTCAGCTTTATAGAAGTACGTGGATGAATTCTAATGTTCTTTTCAGATTTTAAGATAGAAAATCCTAAAACAGGCATGCATGCAGTTCTGTCTTTGAATTTCAGAGCTGGAAGGGACCATCAGGTCCAGCTCCTGTCAAGGAGGCCCAGTGGGGAATCAAACTTTCAAACTCTGGCTTTGCAACTAGAGGCCAAGCCACTGAGCTGTTCAGTAACTTTTTTTGGACCAATACTCCACACTGGTAGTAAACAGCAGCCACCTTACTTAAAGTGATATATAATATAATGTTTAGTATGAACATGGTAGGCTTCAGCCTTCCATTTGCCTTTATTTTGTTCTTGTGCGTTGTCATTTAAATAATTTTATTAGCAAATGAGCATCAGTATAAAAGCCATCTAAGAACTAATACTGCACTACTTCTAGTATTTTCAAGAATTCTGAGCAATGTAAACTGTGTAAAATGATCAACTTACTGTAGTGTGGTTAACATTTATCAAACGAACTCCTAAATATTTTACCTTGCACAAAGGCAATTCAGATTCTGCAGCAAGACTGCTGTTACTTCAATCACCCGAAGCATTGTGGTGCTGAATGTTGGCAGTATCTTCTAATTTGTCAGCTAGCTCTTCAGTATGTGTACATTTCAGGTGATTAATTGCAAAAGCATAACACACTTAAGGGCTTTGGTTTACTAAAGGTTTGAAAGGCATAAAATAAGCTATAAAATCTTATGCTCCTTTGCTGGGTTAGGGGACAAAATCAAATCAGAGCTGAGATTCTGTAGTATAAATTATAAGCCATACAAACATGTTTGTGCCCTAAATCTAAATGAATATTGGCCAAAATTACATTTCATAGAATCCTTCATACTGCTTAAAGTAAACCATGTAAATAAATTTTATTAATAAGCAGTTGCCTGAATGTGTTGGCTCCCACCAGTATTTATGTGGCCACTGGAAACAAGCTATTATTGCTTTATATTACATTTTTTTTAAAAAAAATCACGTATCTGCGTCTTCAGACATGTGTTCAATTCAACTTGTGATATAAAATGTGCAGCAAATCATTAAAAATAGTGATTTAGTTTATTTTTATTCAGAACAAAACAAAGCTTTATCCAGTATTAATCCAACATAGAATTTACTCACTGAAATTAAAACGATTTTCTAGTGGTGATTAATAGAAGTTTTGTTTATCTTAATAGATTGACTCTAGACAGAACTAATAATTGCATGTAGCCATAAAAACCTACAGCTCTAAAACACAGATAAAAATACTATCTTCACCTGACATCTGAAGGATGGAACCATAGCTGGTAACTAGATCTCTCTGGGGAGTGTGTTCTAAAGGTGAATCATTATCACTAAAAAAGGTCCTGTGACCAACGTACAGTGGTGCCTTGCTTGACAATGTTAATTCGTTCCAGCGAAATCGCTGTAGAGTGAAAACATCGTCAAACGAAATGAAAAAATCCCATTTTTCAATGGGCTGAAAAACTCACCGTTCAGCGAAGATCCTCCATACCGCGGCCATTTTCGGTGCCTGTAAAGCAAAGAATCCGTCCTAGAAAACAGCGGGGGGCCATTTTGAAAGCCGGCGGCCATTTGGAACCCCGACGATCAGCTGTTTGCTGATCATTATGAAGTGAAAAATCGGTTCCCGAAGCAGGGAACTGATCATCGCTAAGCGAAATTCCCCCATTTAAACCATCATTTTGCGATTGCAAAAACGTCAATGTAATGCGGATTCGTCGTAGAGTGGGGTAATCATCCAGCAGGGCACGACTGTACGTTCTAATTTTCAACTCCGCCTCACTCTTGCACAGCTTCGCCCCTGCCTGCATGCGTGACTCCGCCCCTCCCCGGGCACTCTGTTCCATTGCGACAGAACCTAACGTGATTGCTGCACAGAGGAAGACAGCTGCTCAGAGGGAAGCGGAGTCATGCACACATGCGCACACCCAGCTTAGTGGGAACCTTGCCTGTGACTAGTTGCAACCCATCCAGTCTTTAAAGTCTGAGCAGCAGCAAACTTTCTGAATGTAGAAGTGAATGGATGTCTTCATACAGGAGAAGGTGGTCCTTCGTTCAGATAGTATGTTCTGATAAAATGAATGCTGCTCGTTAGACCCTCAGACTGAGTTGAGCAAGACTAACAAGCTCCAGGTTTTAAACTAGTATTTATAACCATATGTTTTCTCAGAGAGCTGTTGGGTATTCGTGCCGTGCAAGTAGATTAGTTTCCAGAGTACCAGCTCTGTTAGCCTCAGTGTCACAGCTGTAAATGGGAGTAGACAAAGGCTGTATTCATGCATAATCACAAAGAATGTACAATATTCAAAGCTAAACACTATAGCAAAAGGGGGAGTACTTCATAGACATTATAGAACAACCATATATAGCTTTACTTGAGGAACAAAGGGATTCATTTATGCATGATAACATTTCTGCAAAAGCTTACTTCTTTCACAGACCCTCAGATATAAAAGAGAAGAACTTCCACTATGTTAGTTAAGGTGGCAAGCCAGCTGACAGCAGTTGCTTTCCTTTATTTTCCCACGCTTACCTGTAATGGTTGGTTGAAGCAGCTGGAAAACAAGTGAGGGAAAACAATCTTCATATTTATAAAAGCCTTCCATCAGTGTGACTCGCACACAGACAAGCTGGTATTTTCCCTCTGTACAGTTAGGAAACCCACTTGATGTCTTTGGTGTGTCTCATTCCATAATAGATATTACCACATGTAGCCCCCTAGGGAGCTAAAGGGGCCTCCCAGCATCTTCTGTCCCACAAAATATCTACAGCTGTTTGGGGCTCAGAGAGTTCCCTTCTGTCCCATTCAGGATGAGGGGGAGGGGGGTTTGCCAAAGTTTTGACAGCCTCCAGCTTTCTCAGGAATGGACATTCAAAGCCCTTCGGCCTCTAGAGACTGCTTATCCCTGATCCAGTGGTTTGTGATCTGGCTGCTTTGTAATGATACAGTCCTTCGGTAGGACTTGTGTATATAATCGGTACTGTTTGATTTCTAGAAATCTGTCTTTTACTTGTGTATGGAAACCTCTCTAATGACTGATTTGTCATTTACAGGATCTGGTGAAAAGCCATTTGATGTATGCAGTCAGAGAAGAAGTAGAAGTACTGAAGGAACAAATAAAAGAATTAGTTGAAAGAAACTCTTTACTTGAACGGGAAAATGCACTGTTAAAATCTCTCTCAAACAATGATCAGTTATCCCAACTTTCAACCCAACAGGCCAACCCCAGTAGCACTTCTCAACAGCAGACAGCGATAGCACAGCCTCCGCAGCCAACACAACCTCCGCAGCAGCCGAATGTCTCCTCAGCATAAAGCTTTCTTGCCTCGTTAAGAAACTGAAAGCAATCTGTCCTTGTGTGCCACTGGTATTCTTTCCACTTTATATGAAAGCAAGTAGCCATGCTTCAGTTGTGTGTTTTGGCCTTTTCAGTATTAGACAATCATTCTACAAGAGCTTTTCCTCACTGAGATGTCATACAGCACAGTTGGTGTCCAATTACACCATCAGTGTACAAGGGAAAATGATAGAAGGAGTAACAATGCAAAAGTCTGCATTTATTTTGGTGCACATGAGTGGGGTCTTTAAGAGCTTTGGTGAGGCTCTTCAAGGTTTCCATTACTCATGGATTACTTTGAGCCTTGCTTTTCATGTAGTAACAATTCATCCTTAGAGCCACTGTTTTCTCAATTACAAGTAACATTTGCCTACATTAGTTTCATTTATTTGTGTTTTATTTATTACAGGGCTGCTATTCATAATGTACATGAACAATGTCACAGAACTTTTAATTTTTTTAAAATAAATGTAAGTATCAGTAAAAATTGATAGACAGGATTGAGTTTAATAGATAAAATGTTTAGGCAATAATTGAACAAAAGAATCCTGGCATATTTCTAACACTAATGGCAATTTACCTTTTGGTATTTATTTTCAGTAGTTAAGACCCAGCTTGAATGTAAATTTTTGTATAGTGTAAGTATGAAGACCATAGTGCATCTGTACAGGTAGTCGCCAGTCATTGTGATATAATAATTGATGGGCTATTTTGATGAAGAAAACTTTGCTCATTTCTGTTTCTACTTTCTAATAGAGAAATTGCCATGATTCCTCTGCTTTTTGACATTTCGTATGATTTAGGGATGGGTGGGTAGGAATAAAAAGCTGTGAAATTGTTCAACCTACTTTGTAACCAAAGAAGCAAAGCTGTGTAATTGAGTTTTATTTTATAATGCACATTCTTTATGTATTTTTATTTAGTGTTCTCATTCACATTTTCTTTGCTGTCTAGCATGATCTGCATGACCTATAATCTTTGAACCACTTTCGTACCTCATGTTTTATCCAGCACTCTTATTGTGATATGTAATAGTCTGTGAACAATGTCAAATAAAAAAAAAGAAAGAACAGCTAGTGTTGGTGGAAATGAGCTGGTGTGTTACACACTAGTTTAAAAATGAAGTGAGCCATCTTTTGTTCATTTAAAATGGTGTTTTGAATTTCGTATGCAGAAAACGTTTTGTTACATTGCAGATTTTAATGTATTTAATAAATGCAACATGCAGATTAAGTGCAGTGTATACTGAGTATTTAAATTAAAATGTACATTTCATAAATACAGTTTCAAGAGACCATTTGTGTATACTAACGTAGTATGTCAGAAGTTGATGTACAATATATTTTAACACTTTCTGAAATTAAACTGCAGTTTTGTTGAAAGATCTGGCTCTACATGTGTTCAGAGTATAAAGAGTGCTTAGATCAGTTTTCAGAATTAGTCTGAAACAATAAATTTAAAATATATAAGCTACAACTCTATGCATTCTTACGTAAAGTAATCTCATTGCACATAGTGGGACTTCAATGAATGTGGCACATTTTTAAAATTAATTTATCTGAAGAACAATGTTATCTACCGAACTAGAATAAATATCTCAAATATTTAGAATAATCCCACACAGCTACATATTTTTAAATCGGGTGCACACAAGCAGGAATCAAGGTGGTGTTTACTATATCAGAGACCACCACCCAGAGGGTTCTGGGTTTCAGAGGTTCAGATGCCTGATGAAGTGAAACCAGTTAACTCTCTCTAGAATCTAGGCTAGGGAGTATGTGTTCCTCCAGAGGTTTCAGATCCCACAATTCCTCACCGTTGGCTATGCTGGCTGTTCTAGGAACTGGAAGCCTAAATTATTGGAGAAACAAGAGTTTCCCCACCTCAACTGTAAGGCTTGTTACAGCTCTTGAAAAAACTGCATCAAGACCAACAATTCACAAATATTTCTCTCAGTATCCTATTTAAATTTTCCTTACAGCAGTGGCAGATTAGTGTTCGGCCACAATGGAAAAGGTATACTGTGGAAGGTATACTTCTCATTTGCAGAATCGACTTTCTGGTTGCTTGGTTGGTTGGATGGTTGGTTTTCCAGAAGCCAGGCTTTCTACCAACCACAAGATGGTTCAAAGGAATATTGAAAATCAAATAATTCTGAGCCTACAAATTTGTTTTGTGTATTGAAACTGAATACAGGTCACATTCTTTCTACACAAAAATCTGTTCCTGCTTACTTCTTTATTTCACCAGTGTACTTCACAGGATGAACGGAGAATCATGTTCCTGCTGCTGCTAGACAATTGGGACTTAGAAATCATCACCAGTATTGCAAATCCCTAACAGTAGATCCAGATCTATGTAACAACCCTGAGAAAATGTGCTTTCCTTTTTATTCAGTTTTATTTCAGCTTATACACCAGAACATAAATTATATTTAAAAAATTTGCACTGGTCAAAAAGAAAAACTGGTGAATAATTGATACCCCCTTCTAGTAACTATTGGAGATTCAAGGTTATAGTAAATCAGTTTAATCCATAACCTGCTTAAAGCATCTTTTCCAAGAGTTAGATCTTAACTATAGCTAGTGAAAATTGTCAGATTAAAACTATCATTTAGAATCTATCATACAGCAACTTGCAGAGTAGACCGTTGGTCTAGATAGGCGGGGTAGAAATCCAATAAAATTAAATAAATTAAAGATTCTGGGTGACACAAAATTGGAATCAGGTTTGGTAGTAGTGGGCAGGGATTGCATTGTTCTAATATGCATGTGCATATAGACATGTACATAAAGCTGAATAAGGACTCTCCAGGAATGAACAGGCTTGCAGTGCTGGAGGGACAGTTGATGCCAAGGCACAAGTGAAATTAAGCTCAGAATCAAAGGTTTCTGACCTTAGATTGTGAACTTGCCAGGCTTCTTAAACTTGCAAATGCTGTTTTTCACATCATAGCTGTTGTAATAGATATGAAATTAGTGAGTGTGCTGCCTGTCCTGTGCTGACAGTAACAGGGAAGTGCAGTGAGGCCTCTTCCCTGTCATCCTTTAAGCAGGTGTTAATGACATTTTTATTTTAGGAAGCATTAAAGGCAACCTTAAGTTTCTCTTTATATGTGCTCCCGGAGTCTACCATCATTTGGGGTTTTATTGAATGTAGGGTTTGATCTTACTGGCTTTGTTGGGAGGTCAAGGTTATTGTTTATTTTACCTTTGTAACACTTAGAGTAGTGTCTCACACTAAATCAGTGGTATATAAATTTACGAAATAATAAATTAATTAAAAGACTTTGTGAAACTGTGTGAAGGAATACAAGCTCCCAAGATGATCCAGCCTGTGCTTGTTGCAGCTGCAAGGACTAAAGATGTGTCCAGCAGAAGAAGTAACAGGAATACTGCAAAAGCTCACATTCTGTGGTGGCGTTTGTTTCCAACTGTACTTTAGAAAGTAACTTGCCTTTCCTCCTGTTTTACTCATTACAACTACCGTACCATTAGTAAGATAAGCTTTTTAAATCAGTTCCACAAGCACATTGCTGGCCTGAACCAAATATTACACCTGTCTTTCACAGACAAACTATCCGGACATTAGAGCTGCTAACATCTCTTTTTGCTTTATATAACAAGACTTTGACAAGTGAAATAGAAGCATAGACATCATCCCATTTTTGGTGACAATGCTGAATTTGTTAGCCTATCTGTATATAGAATATCCATGATGGAAATACAGCTAACAGAACAGCTTCTATAAGTCAAAGGCATGAAAAGAAGCATGCTGAAAATGAGCAAATTTGATAGCATGTAATGGTAGGTAATAATTAAAATAATTAAAATGCTCCTGTTTTATTTCTACAGCTAGATGAGTATTTTGGCACAAATTTGGCAATGACTCGAGTAGTATACATTGTCATGCTACTGAACAAATTGTGTAGAGATTGCCAATTTTGCTCTGCCAATAAAAAAAAATGGTGAGGTAGAATTTATCTGATCAAGAGCACAAATCTTATGCCTGTCTGTTCATGTTCTGTTCCATTTAATGAGACTTACTTCCCGTTAAGAGTGCATACACTGTGTAATGCCTAGCCTTAATTTGATTTTGTGAAGTTGCATACCAATATTGTTCATAAAAACTCAGAATAAATATTTTGATTGTTCACTTATTTTGAGTTCTATCTGTTTAAGACCAGCTTGTGCTTCCACTTCATGCAGCAGCCAACAGAAAGTAGGCACATTCTTATTAGATCTGAAGGAAAGGCTGCTTGCTGGTGATGTCATTCTCAGAAACAAGGATTTCTGAATAAGGATATATATTCTTTTGGCCAAAGCACAAGTAGCACTGACATTTCTAAGATATGTCTTATAAAATGTTTCTGGAAGGTTCCTTGCTGCCTAAAATATTTCGGCAACAGTAAGAATTAGAAACATGATTCCCCCCCCCCACCGGACACTGCCAATCTCCTGACTTAAATAATTGGGGAGGTTAAATCTTGAAATCAGGTGTTTTTCTTTCTTTTACCTGAGATCTCTAAAATGACAAGAAGCATTAAATTTTGCAGTAACTGGGACTAGTGATATCCCAGTTCAAATTGTTTTCCCAAAGCCCAGTTGGTTCAACTAATAATTACCTTCTATTTTATTTAATTTATATCCTACCTCTCTCTCTTGCAAGGTCCAAGCCAGTACACAACATCAATTTAAAAAGCAGATGCAGCTAAAACACAATGAATGAAAGTATTAAAACCCTATTAAAATGATCATCAGATTAACCACTAAAGCCTTTTAACTACAACAGCAACAAACCCCCCACTATTAAACAGTCCAGATTAGTGACTAGAAGTCTTTTAAAATAAAAATGACATTACCTGTGGACAGGAAATAAGAAACAGGCCAGTCTACCCTCCCTTGGAAGGAAGTTCCATAGTTAAGGAACAGATATTGAAAAGGGCCGTTCTCATATCCTCACCATATAGGCTTGTGAGAATGATGTAGGGCAGAAATGCCTTTTCTGAACATGTTAAGACCTATGCAGGCTTATGGAGGGAGATATGGTCCTTCAGATGCCATGGAATCAAACTGTACAGGTAATCACCAGCATTTTGATTATGTTTGGAAACAGACTGGTACCCAACATTTCTAGCTGCTTTTACCTACAACCTGAGGAAAGTATTGCAGATCACTGAAGATTCTGAACACCTTCCAAAGCCAGGCTTGCATAAAGCATAAGTAGGGTGCAACTAAGGCACATGTATCACAATGGCAAGATCAGATTCCTCCCAGAAAGGGTGCAGCTGGTGTCTACAAAGACACTCCTGCCCACTGACAAAAACTGGGCATCCAGATTTATGGCTGAATCCAAGCTTTTAACCTTAGTTGTCAGAGACAGTGTCACTCCATCGACAATGTTTAAATGCCTATTCCCTGGTTTGCCTTTTGACTGACCAGGAGCACCTCTGTATTGTCCAGATTAAGCTTCAGTTTTTCACCTCCATCTAGTCCAGTAGCACCTGAAAATGAAAATATATTGGACTCTTCTGTAAATCATGTCAGATAAACTTCAGTTACGAGGCTTCCCATTCTGGCTACAAAGTAAACAATTATAATTATTTTCAGAGGTTTGTTCATTTGTCCTAAAAGATCTCTGAAATGGTAATTGCTAGAAACACATATTTGCTTGGATGCTACTGATTTAAATACCTGCCTTACTTAAGCTGTGACTACATGGGCTCTTCTTATAAAAGGATGAATTTGAAGTATTTTTTACTGACCACATGACACGGGAACATCTATCTTTTTAAAAGCTGAAATAATTTAAATGGTCTTTCCCCCATGTGGTTAGTTGTAATATGACCTTGTAAAGACAGGGGGCATTCTGTAGGTGGTGCTTTGGTGACATAGGCAACTGAGTTGTGATGTTCACGACCAGGGGACTATGTGCCCACATTCTTTTTCCACGATGATCCTCTAACTTTTTAATTTAAAAGAAGTCATACATATATGGGTCACCATTATTATTTTCTGTATTTATGTCCCCATCAGTTCCCATTCAGATTTGCTGAGGCAGGACCAGAGGAAGGAAGAATCAGCAGATGCAGGACCACAGGAAAGAAGGGGAGGCTGTGGGCCAAAATGCTACTCCTATTGCATCCAACATGAATAGTGAACTTTTAAACCAATCTGCAGCCTCTGTGTGAGCACTGGCTGCAATTTCAAATGTAATACATTCCGATTTAGTTT